TTTCTTCTCTGAGGCCCCTCATGATTTGGTGCCCCACCTGTCTGCCCTTGTCTCCTCTCACTCTCCTCCTCACTCCACTGCAGCCAGGCCAGCTGCTGCTGCCCCTCCAACCTGTCAGATGGGCTCCTGGCTCAGGGCAGTGGACTTCCCTTCTGCTGGAGCACTCTTCTTCTGTAAAACCACATGGCTCACGCCTCCACCGTTGGGTCTCTGAGTGTCACTTTAGAGCGTTCTCCCCTGATCACCCTCTTTAGGATTGCAACCTCATTCTTCCCAGGCCCTCCATGTTTTCTCCGGGACACTGAAGGCTTTCTGACACACCACACCTTTTTTTTCCTTTAAAAAAAATATTTTTATTGATTTTTAGAGAGAGAGGAAGGGAGTGGGGGAGACAGAGAGAGAAAGATCAATGTGAGAGTGAAACGGCAAAATATTGATTGGCGGCCTCCTGCATCCCCCTTCTGGGCATCAAGCCCATAGCCCAGGCATGTGCCCTGACTGGGAATCGAACCGTGACCTCCTGGTCATAAGTTGATGCTCAACCACTGAGCCACACCGGCCAGGCTGACACACCACATCTTAACTGTTCTGCTTGTTTCCTCTCTGTGTCCCCCTGCCCCCTTTCCTTACCTACATGCCAGGCTCGGTGTTTTTGTTCACCTCAGTATCCCTAGCTCCTAGAACAGTGCTTCACACATAGTAGATGTGAAGCACACAGGTTTTGAATGAATGAATGAATGAATGAATATTTATGGTTAAAGTCTTGGGTAGGAGGTGTCTTTTTCCCTCCTCTTTTTCCTTTTTTCCCCCCTTCCTCTCTTTTTCTAGCTAGAGACTTTTGAGGTGTGTGGAATAGAGCTGTGGACATTTGCTGTCCCTGGGCCTTGTCCCAGGCAAAAGTGATAGCTGTGGTGGCAGCTCTGTCCCAGGCTGACTTCCTGCCAGCTGCTCCAGTCTATTCCTGGGCTCTGAGCCCCCAGTCCAGGAACTCTCCTCTGGCAGATAGACAGGCAGCGAGAGAGGGACAAGCTCTCACAGCCGGTGGCAACTCACGAGCCCTCTCCCCTTGTTCTCTCTTCCAGGCTCCAGGGAGCTGCGTGAGGGCCAGGGCGACAATGGTCTCAGTGACAATGGGTGAGTCTGTGGACTTCTCTCGGGGCCCCCTCTCCCCCCTGCCCTTTTTGGAGTATGACCTTGTTGGGGAAGACGTGGGGGGGGGAGGGAGGGCCGGTCACAGGCAGGAACAGCTGTACTGGAGGTCCATGGAGGTGGGGCCAGGCCTGCTCAAGGCCTACCCGCTTCCTCTCGGTATCTTTGCCTCCTGCAGCCTCGTTTAGCCATAAAGAACTTGGGTATTGAAGTCCAACAGACTCCCACATGGCCTCTCAGAGCCTCAGTTTTCTCACCTGTAAAATGGAGATACTAATACTTCCTACAACCTGGGATGTAATAAGGATTAAGGAGGTTATTGCATGTATATTCCTTTTGCTTTAGGCAGTTAGCTACTCCCAACCTATGTGGTACTTTTTTCCCCTTAAGAGCTTGATTGATATACAGTTTATATTTTGTACAATCACTTGTTTAAAGGCTACAATTCAGTGGTTTATATACATATCTTTTTCTTTTAAAAAATATATTTTTATTGATATCAGAGAGGAAGGGAGAGGGAGAGAGAGATAGAACATGAATGATGAGAGAGAATAATTGATTGGCTGCCTCCTGCACACCCCCACTGGGGATCGAGCCCCACAACCTGGGCATGTGCCCTTGACTGGAATCAAACCCAGGACCCTTGAGTCCACAGGCCAATGCTCTATCCACTGAGCCAAACCGGCTAGGGCTACGTATCCATCACCACAGTCGATTTCTTTCAAAACATTTTCATCTCCCTCCAAAAACCCAATGTCCATTAGCAGTCACTCCCTCCACCCCGGACCCTGGCTCCACTAACCCACTAATCCACTTTCTGCCTCTATGGATCTCTACATTTACTGTTCTGGACATTTCATTAAATGGAATCATTACGTGATACTTAGACAAAAGTGCCTGCTTTTGGCTGATGGAAACCAGGGCGCCCTGGCTAAGCAGGTGCCTAGAGCCCATGCAGAATAGAAGGCACCTTTTCCTCTGGGCAGGAGCCCACCTTTCTCAATTAGAGATACAGGCCTATGGCCTGGGGGGCAGGGGCCTCCTAGGGAGAGGTGTGGCTGTGCGTTTGTGCCGAGCCCTGCACTGCCACCTATGAGACATCTGACCTGGAGTGTGTCTCTTTTCCTGCACTGAGCCTCAGTTGTCTCAAGCAAAATGAGCACAGCAATACCAAATTTTTTCTAATCTCAATTAGCATTGCCTAGCCCCCAACCGGTGTGGCTCAGTTGGTTGGAGTGTCGTCCTATGCACTGAAGGGTTTCGGGTTTGATTTGATATTTCTCTCACTCTCTCTCCCCGATCCCTGCCCTCCCTTCCTATCCCTTCCTTTCTCTAAGCATGTCCTTAGGTGAGGATTAAAATAAACAAACTAGCATGGAATGTTGGATGTAATATTATTTACCATGAGAAAGAAAAAGAATGTTGCCAATTAAACTGGCAGCCTGGCTGGGGTGGCTCAGTGGTTGAGCATTGACCTATGAATTAGGAGGTCACGGTTTGATTACCTGTCAGGTCTGTCAAGGCACATGCCGGGGTTGGGGGCTCGATGCCCAGTAGGGGGCGTGCAGGAGGCAGCCAATCAATGATTCTTATCATTGATGCTTCTATCTCTCCCTTTCCTTTTCTCTCTGAAATCGATAAAAATATATTAAAAAAATAAAACAAAACAAAAGACAACTGTGGCACACCATCGATTGTGAGGTAGATCCTGGTTTCAGAGATATTAAAAATGAAAAAAAAGATTTTACTTGAAATCAGTGATCTTACCTAACACCGGGCCTAACAGAGCAGGGTCAGTGTGAAGGTCACACCCAAGAAAACAAGAAAGACGTTTAGAAACAGTAAGCCAGGGGCGAGGTGCCCACCCTCCCCCTGCCCGCTTCCTCATTGGCAAAGTGGGGGAATCAATGCTGCTTAACCACGGTTGTCAGGCAGGCGTAATTCCATCATCTGTGTAAAGCACTCAGCCCAGGGCCTGGCATTTGATAAGCATTTAATTTGTGGGAGCCGTTGCTGTTGTGGTTTTGCTGCGGCTGTTCTCCAAAGAGAATAATGTGAGTAATGAGTCCTGTCCACCCCCACCAGCCACTTCTGAGTGGATCCAGTTCTTTAAGGAAGCCGGCATTCCTCCGGGACCTGCTGTCAATTACGCTGTGATGTTTGTGGATAATAGGTAAGGGGCACCGAGGGGATGAGCTGAACTCGGGGAGAGGTGGGAGGAGACAGGGAACTGGCTGGCCCACCCTCCCTGGTCCACCATGGCCTCACTGCTGACCCTCCCCTGCAGGATCCAGAAGAGCATGCTGCTGGATCTTAACAAGGAAATCATGAATGAGCTGGGCGTTACTGTGGTGGGCGACATCATTGCCATCCTCAAGCATGCCAAGGTGGTACACCGCCAGGTGGGTGCTCTGTGCCATCTCTGTTCCTGGGTTTGGGGAGAGGCGGGGCAGTGGTATAGCTGACAGGAGGCTTAGAAGCAAAGGCAGGCAGACCTGGGATCCAAGGCTGGTTCTACATTTGCTGTGTGACATTGGGCACATTGCCTAACCTCTCTGAGCCTTTGTCTATCTGTAGTATGCACATAGGCAAACCTATTTTGCAGGGTGATTGTAAATATTATATTGTATAAAGCCTAGTACAGTGTAAACAGTAGGGCTTCAGTAAAAGCTGTCTGTATTATTATTATTACTAGAGGCCCGGTGCATGAAAATTCATGCACTGGAGGGGGGGTCCCTCAGCCCGGCCTGCCCCCTCTCATAGTCCGGGAGTCCTCAGGGGCAGGAGGCGATGCCCCCGTCACACCTCTGCTGCTGCCACTGCCGGCAGCCCAAGCCTCGGCCGACCCTGGTTACCTGAGCCTTGGGTGGCCCTGGGCAGCTGGGGGGCTGAGGGGACTGGGGGACTCCGGAGGCAGGCACGTGCCCGGCCTTGCCGCGTGCCTGCTGCCCCGGCGGGGCTGAGGGAACTGGGCACCGCCATCTTGTGGTTGTGGGGGCTGCCATCTTTGAAGGCGGGGCAGTCAATTAGCATATTCCCTCCTTATTGGCTGTGGGCACCGCCATATTTGAGGGTGGGGCAGTCAATTAGCATATTTCCTCCTTATTGCCTGTGGGTGCCACCATCTTTGAGGGTGGGGCAGTCAATTAGCATATTCCCTCCTTATTGTCTGTGGGCACTGCCATCTTTGTGATGGTGTGAGAGTCAATTAGCATATT